ATCACGTCTACAAAAACCTATCCAGGCACTGATATAGAATCGAATCACAATCCGGTGGTGGCGGTAGTAAATATAAGATTCAAGAAAATAAAGAAAAGTGCAGCTAAACAAAAGATAGACGTTAAGCAACTGAAAAACGCAACTATACTGGAAAGGACAAGAGAACAGGTAAACAACAATCTTAGAAGCATCGCTGCAAAAAATAGGAACACAGGCAATGTAGAGAATAAATGGACGGAGATAGAAAAAACCCTTATGACAGCTGGTGAAGGCTCCTTACCTCCAAGCAAAATTAAGAAAAAGGAATGGATGACAAACGAAATTATGCATCTCATAGAGGAAAGGCGAAGAAATAAAATAAACAAGACAAAATACAAAGAAGTGAACCGTGATATTAAGAGAAAAATTAGAGAAGCCAAAGAGAACTGGGTTCTGGACAACTGCAAGGAAATAGATAAATATGATAGAAAGTATGATAGCTTTAACATGAATAACAAGATCAAGGAAATAACAGGTAAAAAAGTGAAACAAGCATCCATCGTAAAGGACAAAAAGGTAAAATAATTACAGATTTAAATAAAAAACTGGCAAGATGGACAGAATACATTGAAGAACTTTTTGCAGACGAAAGACCAGAAATAACAGTGACAGAACCTACAGACGACACAACAGGGCCTGAAATCCTAAAGAGCGAGATAGAATATGCTATAAGGAACACAAAAGGGGGTAAAGCTGCAGGACCAGATGAAATTCCTGTAGAATTGTTAAAACTTATAGACGACGACGCACTTGAAATAATAGTGAACCCCTTTAACACAATTTAGAGAACAGGCATCATACCAAAGAAATGGCTCTCCTCTACTTTTGTCACAATCCCGAAGACGAATAACGCCAGAGAGTGTTCAGACCAAAGAACTATAGCATTGATGAGCCACACACTAAAAGTATTTTTAAAAATAAATCACAAAAGAATATTTAATAAATTAGAAGAGGACATCACAGTTTGGATTCAGAGGTGGACTGGGAACACGGGAAGTTTTGTTTGGTATGAGTGTGTTAATACAAAGATGTTTGGAAGTAAACCAAGACCTCTACGTAGGTTTCATAGATTTTGAGAAGGCCTTCGATAAAGTCAGACACCAAAAGCTGTATGAAATCCTAAGAAGCAAAAACATCGACAGTCGCGACATTAACATCATATCCAGGTTGTACTGGGGACAAACAACAAAAATCAAAGTTGATAATGAGTTAACCGAAGAAATTGAGATTCGTCGAGGTGTGCGTCAGGGTTGTGTGCTTTCTCCACTATTATTCAATATATATAGCGAAACAATATATCAGGAAGCGCTCCTAGAGCAAAACATTGGTATGAACATTAACGGAGAGTTAATTAACAATATACGATACGCTGATGACACGCTAATAGTAACAGATAACATAGCAAATTTACAGTTTTTGATGGAAAACATAAACACTCATACCAATTAGTATGGTCTAAAACTGAACATCAAAAAGACTAAATTCATGATTGTAACAAATAAGCTATACACTAATGTGAATTTAACCATAAATAATCAGCCAGTTGAAAGAGTAACGTCCTACAAATATTTAGGGGTTTGCTTCAATAATACTAATGACCAGACAAGAGAAATCAAGAGGCGAATAGAGATAGCGAGACAATCGTTTGTCAAAATGAAAAAGTTCCTATGCAGCCGGAACATAAATATAAACTTAAGAACAATAATGTTAAGGTGCTATGTTTTCTCCGATCTGCTGTACGGCGTGGAAGCCTGGACACTGAAAAAGATAAACATAAAAAACATTGAGGCATTCGAGATGTGGTGTTACAGGAGAATGTAGAAAATACCATGGACAGAAAGAGTTACAAATCAAGATGTTCTGCTGAAGATGGGGAAGGAATACGAAGTCGTAAAAACCATATAATCGAAAAAACTTGAATATCTGGGCCACATAATGAGAGGAGAATAGTACCCTCTGCTTAGACTCATAATCCAAGGAGAAATCTCGGAAAAGAGAAATATAAGACGTAGGAGTATTTCCTGGTTGCGAAATTGAAGAAAGTGGTATGGGTGCAGTTCAATACAGTTGTTCTGAGCTGCAGCCTACAAAGTAAAGATTGCTGTGATGGTAGCCAACCTCCGATAGAAGACTTACTGCAAGAAGAAGAAGAAACATATTGAGGGCCAAATATATTGTATTTGGTATTAAGCTGATCGCTAAAAATCGCATAATAAAATGTCGATAAAGAAGCAAAGAAAAACTTAAAATGAGAGGGGAAACCAGTCAGCCGAGGGAACCTTTCAACGGTGCGATGTTGAGCTTGGATCTGCTATCTATGTATATAATAAACAATATTACGGCTCCTAACTAAGGATCTGAGCACAAAACTAACTCTAAAATTTGGATCAAAAATACAACAATTGCTGATATCCAAAGTCTGTAGACAAGCAAAGTAAAGACAAAGTTATTGCCTTACTTAAACCTGGCAAAAACTCCACAAAAGCTATCGGCCAATATATTTATTTATTCTGTCAGTTATAAAAAATACTTCTGCACGTGATCCTTAATATAATTTTACTGATAATAGAAGAAAAACTCAAATTAAAAGACTAAAGTGGCAATAGACAGGGAAGATCACGTACGTCACAAATACTAAATCTTGCCCAACACATCAAAGACGGGTACGAAAGATATCAGGTATGAGGAGTGGTATTTGTCAATCTAAATGCCGCTTATGACACCTTAAATTAGAGGGCATTTCCAAAATCTATGTGACATTGCCTTAGGTAATAAACTCACTTGTATTATCCGCGTATGCCTACACAACAGAAGATTTTTCGTATTACATAATGGTAAAAATAACAGATGGACAACGCAGAAGAACGGTCTCCTTTGGGGTAGCGTAATGGCACCTACACTGTATAATATTTACACAACCCATACCAGTAAATACGTTACGGCCTTCTTAAGCTAATTCTCCAAGGGAAGGTAAATGGTAAGAGAGGACCGGGAAGAAGACGCATTTCCTGGCTTCAAAATTTACGAAAGTGGTATAACACGACTACCACTGAACCGTTCCGCGCTGCAGTGAACAAAGTAAAGATAGCCGTGATGATCGCCAACATCCGGAACGGATAGGCACTTTAAGAAGAAGATACCAGTAAATACTAGAACTTTTATTAGGTAGACGATCTATATTGTTGCACAACAAAAAACTTTAATGTCCCTAACAGAGACGCTTTTACAAATCTAAACATCCAATAGTATCATGAAATTTTTAAACTCTGGACTTGCTATATATACCTTGAAGATAGTTTGAATCAAACTTTGTCATTCACAGAACTTTGTTTAAAACTAAGAGGTAAACTGAGGACCAGAAAAGTAATCTCTGGAAACTTGTCAGCTAAATTGCTAAGAAGCGCATCCTTCCATCCTTAAAACGTAGACGCTTGCACTCTATGCTTCTGCTGTCGAATATACCTTGTAAGTATAGATGATACCAACACATACTTAACACGTAGATTTAGCTATAAATTAGTCAGTCAAATTAAGCGGATATTAAGACACACACATTCATACATAAGCTCTACAATATCTTAGCTATCAATTCACCTAATATCCGAAGATAAGTATCTATAGAATAAAAGATACAAAGTCTAAAATCGCAACATCCACTCAACGAATACCAGACCAATTTATGACTAAAATCGAGAAAACACTGACCAGATCAACACATATACACATTGCAAGAAATAAAAAAAAAGATAAGCTGCTCCTCGCCATCTGAACGCTCGAGAGGAATTTCCTTATGGTAGTTATCTTCGTAAAATCTGCGAGGAGGACTCTTGCTAGTAAATACCGGTTAACCTGTGCGAATGTAGGCAGTACAAGATTTATCACACCTTCTTATTTGACTTTGCCATTCAAATCGCTCTTTTCTGAAGTGACAAGGTTTAATTAATTGAATTGAACATATAAAGTACAGTCAGTAAGCTATTGCTTATAAAGATTATTGTAAATTTGACACTAACTCCACTTATATTAATTACATTACCCCTAAATAAAAGATAAAACATTCAGAAGTATGTAATATCGGTAAAGTGGTATATTCTTGTTAGATAAATTAAGCATTCTTCCCTTTTTTGTGCACTACTACCCATTTTTACATAAAAATATCACTTTTAGCACTTAAATATTTATTTTAAGATAACCCATCCAGAATTATAATAATATGTAGTACACAGATAAAATCATAAATAAAATAATAAAGAAGCTGTATACAAGATATCGTAAAACAATGGATGAAATAAAAGACATTCTTATAAATCCTATCCTTAAATAAATCGTACAAAGACATACTCATGTTAAAAAAATACATTAGGAAATTTCAGCATATGAAAAACACATCCAATTTGGTAATGAAATCCTTTTGTATTTATAAAGCTATTTTTAGAACAGCATGTACCTACCAAAAACAGGTATTTGGTAGTATACATATCTATTACATATTGCAATGTGTATGAATGATAAAAAAATCAGGAGTCCGTATAAACCGTTTAAAATATATAAAATGTATATATCAAGAACGCTGGAGCTCTACGGCTTGATTGCATAGTTGCCAAACTATCAGAGCTTACTTAAACCGATATTCTGATGGTTCCAATATACAGTGACAAAGATCTGAACGACCCCTATAATATATACACGTGAACTAAGCGAAATACATTTATGATACAGGGGTACTTATGAGCTCCAAAATTTTATTAAGAATTATGAAACTATACATCTTAACGAATCAACAGAGCCAATATTATGGAATGGTCAAGTGAGCTCCGTATATTGGTGTCCACTTGACCACGGAGCTCACTTAAACCTGAATTTTAACATGGGCGGAGTTCACTTTATGCCGTAAATATATATATATATATATATAATATATATATATATATATATATATATATATACTTTTTATTACTTACCAACATACATAAAGCGTAAGGACTCTTTAAACCCATTTGATTCAGTTTGGAAATCAATTTTGTCACTGCTAGCTTATCAGTCTTCCTAATATGGTATAGGAGACCTAATGCGTGATACTGTACCATGGCACTAAAATCATTCATGTACAAAATTAATCTCTTTATTCATGTAGTCAAAATACAGACTGAGTTTTAATTATGGAATGGCTTAATTATCTTGAAAATATTTCCAAAATTTATATACATTTTGATTTAAAGGTTTTGTAATACAGTTGATCTTATTATAGTAGTAACATTTTTGTCAGATTTTCAGTTTTTCTGGAGATGTAATCAACTTTTTTATATCTAATGGATCACCTTGTATTTTTTCTTTCTGAAATCCTTAAAAAATACTGAATATTTTTCATGTGATATTCCCTATACATAAATGTCATAGTTTTAGAGTTATAGCTAAATTTCTATATCTGTCCAAGTTACAATAGTACATTACGATGACTACCATTGAATACACTCGTTTAATTCCAATAATCTTTTATGGTTTATATCTTAAGAAAATCTTAGCAAGCTCTACTATCAGTACTTCAGTAAAATATTTTTTAACAAAACTGCTGAAGTAAGCAGTTAAATTTGTGTTGTGTTACAAGCAGATTCACATTTAAGTGGTAACCACATAGGAAACTTTAGAAAATATCAAATATAGGTGGTTATAGCAGATGTTCAAGAAGTTGTCTTCTTACTTCAATACCACAATCTTATCCATATACCAAACAGAAAACCCACAAGTTTTAATAAATAAATTAGACCAAATACTCTGTGATTTAGTTAGCAAGGATTCTATCATTTTTCTGGCTGTTGATTCTAACTTAGATATGCTGCTTGAGATTGTGGGGTGACCAGAGAAGTTTTTGATCTTTAATATTAAACCTTCCAAAGACTATACACGCATAAAAGGTATTTTTTACAAATCTTAACATATTTGATTCTGTTGTATCAATTTGAATTAAATAAATGTGAGTCAAATATTTATATATATATATATATATATATATATATATTATATATATATATATATATATATAATATATAAATTTATTTATTTATATTATATTTATTTATTTATTGATAATAAAAAAGCAAAAGAACTCAAAATTTATAATTCTAGTGCACCACGGTTTTATGCTCTACCTAAAATACATAAACCAACTTTATCTATGAGACCAATTGTTTCATCTCTATGCCCTCCAAATGGACCAATAGCACAGCTCCTCACTGACATCTTAACCAATGCTTATAATTTAAACAACAATTTTTACATAAAAGATTCATTTGATTTTAGTTCTTTCATTAATAATTTCCAATTACCACAAAATTATGTTTTAGTTAGTTTTGATGTAACATCTCTTTTTACTAATTTACCTTTAAATTTAATCATAAGTAGTATTGAAAAACATTGGAATGAGATTTCGCAACATACTAATATTGACTTATTACATTTTAAAAACACTCATCAACTTTGTTTTTGATTCTAATATTTTTATATTTAATGGTGTTTTTTATAAACAAATTTTTGGTAGCCCTATGGGATCTAGTCTTTCACCCATTCTAAGTAGCTATGTCATGGATGATGTTATTAGTGATTGTATCAATAATTGCACTTTTTTTCATTCCATTTATCCAAAGATATGTAGATGATCTAGTTTTGGCACTTCCTAAACACAAAATTCTTGAAACAGTCAACACTTTCAACAATCATAATCAACATATACAATTTACAGTTGAGGAAGAGGTAGATAATTCTCTACCATTCCTTGACATGAGAATTGTAAGAAATACAGACAATATTTTGAAAACTATAGTAAAATTCAATAAGCGATGCAGGAAAATGTAAACATTAAATCGTGTCCGAACCGGTATGACCGCCGATAACGTCGCCAGATGAAATAAAGATGGACATTTCGGTTAGTTTTTAAATATTTTTGAAGAACTGTTACTTGCATTTGTGCATAAAATATTCATTAATTTTATAAATCGGATTATTTGTTTACTTACTTTGTATTCAGTGAAAACATTAATTTATTTACTATGCAATAAACCCGAATATTTGAGAAAAGAAAAAAAATAATAAAGTGTCATAATTATACTGTTACTTATCGGAACGAGTAGACTCATTTGAAACACCTTTAACAATTATCTGTTAAATTTATCGTTGTTTATATGCCCTGCATCGCTTAATGGAATAAGGTATAGATGGTTCAGAAAACCCATATGTAGTAATAGATTTATAAGCTATTACTCTAATCATCCAAATAAGATGAAAATGAACCTTATAACAGGATTAAAGGTACGTGTTTTAAAACTTTCTCATCCAGACTATCTACAAGACGATCTTCATTTGTTAAAAAATATTTTAATGGAAAACTCTTATCCTCCTGATATGCTACATAGGATGCTTTTTTCTAATTTATTAAATATAAATAACTTAACACCATTTTTTGCTAAATCTCAAAACACTGTATCCAACAATCAAAACATATATTATCATTCACTACCTTTTATACCATCATTAACTCCTAAATTAATACAAACATTAAAGGTTCATATAGACAAATTAGATCAAACAAATGTAGTATACAGCATTGTTTGTACTCAATGTGAAGCTGAGTATATTGGTGAGACTGGAAGAAATCTCTCAAATCACATTATTTCTCACAAGAGTGATTGTAGAATTAAGAAACCATCTTGTGCTTTGGCAGAGCATGTAATAGACAAAGACCATATTATGGATTTTGATAATATTAAAATTTTATGTAATGAAAGTAATAAATTTAAAAGAACTTTTTTGGAAATGGTTTGTATTAGCAAAAGTGATAATAATTTAAACAAAAGGTCAGAAATTCAAAATTTAAGCAAAATTTATAATTATATAATTTCTATTTAATTTATATATGCAGTCAGTAAAATATCACATTTTGAATTTTCCATGTATTTGTTACATTTTTTCGGGCATCTATCAATGGTGAATAAATCTTCTTCTTTTTTGTTACTAAACAAAGAAGAATTTTTTAAACAAAATTTTATTTTTGACAATATGTCAAAAATAAAAATTTTTAAGTTAGTATTTATGACATTTAGGCTGGTTGTAGCTATTCTATTTTTGTTTATAAATTCAATTTTTTTTCTTAAGAAACTTCATCAAAATTTTGCAGAGAAACATTTATTAGAATAAGACATTTTTTTATTAATATTTTTTGTATTTAATATGTAAGCAGTAGTTTTATATAAAAAATTAATTTTATTTGGTGAGTTAACAAAAAATTTTTTATTTCTAGTTCAACTTTGTAAGACATTTTGTATTTTTTAGAAGCTCTTGATAAAAATTGTAATCACAATTGAAAGCTCGAGTAAAAAATAGTCAACAAATAGCCCCTTTTATTGACTCCAACCCATCAAAAACAGTGTTATATATATATATATATATATATATATATATATATATATATATATATATATATATATATATATATATATATATATATAAATGTATACATGAAATAACAAGAAGTCGAGAGACCTCTCTGATAGCAAATTAGCTCGTACTTTCAAATGTATATATATATATATATATATATATATATATATATATATATATATATATATATATATATATAAATAAACATTTAGCAAGGAGAATAAAGATTTAAATTTAAGTTGGAAAATGTAGACTGGGTATCAGTTTTTGTGACCTTAGAGGTAGATAATCAGTGGGATGCTTTCATGAATATAGTAAAGCAAATAGAACAAATCACAAAAGTTCTTTAAAAATGATCATATAAAAAATTATAAGTCTAGGTTTGATATCTTGTTTACACTGTCTCGTAATAATGTTGAATATAAAGAAATCTGCAGGACATAAAAATGCAAGTACAATAATTCTTTACTCTGAAAACTGAAAATAGGGAATATAAAACTAAAATATCTACGCAATATGTAAAAGAGATTAAAGCTACTTCCAAAAGTCAAGGTAATTTCTGTTTACAGGGTGACCATTGGATGCTTACTAATGAAATAAATTAATTTATGGTACATGCAGTGCTGGAAGGTGTAAAGAAAATAAATAATGTAAAAAATTTTCAAATTAATATCAAACAAAGTAATCATTGCATGTTTCTAACTGCACTTTTAGAGAATGAAATAAGCTGTATAATAAATAACTTAAAAAATAGCTCTGGTTATGATGAAATATAAACTGACTTAATTAAATTTGTTTCATCAGAGATTTCTCTTCATCTCTTTTATAATTAATACTTTTTCAGGCAAGATAAATTTCCTCAAATTTTTTGTTTACTTTAGAACTATTCAGTCACAAGAATAGTTCCCAGATAGTCAATTTTCTATCACAAAACCTGCTAGAAGAAATATTTTATGTGGACTTAAAAATACCCTGACTAACTCAGATATAAAACTGTTTTTCAATAAATTTAAATTTGTGAAGTCATTTAAATGTCCTTCAATGAAAAATATTCTAATTATTTTACTGTCTATTATTCTAGCTTTTCCAGTACACTTGTAAGTTTTCTGGATACTGGATGTGGTATTCACACATCCAACGAAGATTGTTACTTAACCAGTGGCTATAATTATGCTGATTTATATTCAAGTTAATAACAAAGGTGGTCTCATTCCAGAACAATATTACTAAAAAACTTTGAATCTTATTTCCAAAATTATTTCTGGAGGCTTTTCTTGTTTTTGAAATCAGTTATCTGACAAGTCTTGAACCATACTTGGATGGCATTTATTATCAAGTAAAATTCTTATGGGTTTTTGCAAAATATCGAGTTCCCCAAATATTTCTCTAGTATTCAAGTGTAGATTATCTTCTAACATGACACAAATATTCAAGATTTTTGTTTACTTTTTCAGATGCAGTTTTTTGCATCCTGATTTGGATAAATCTTTTTGTGATAAACAATCAATTGTGATTTTCAATAAACACCAAAAATGGTATTTTACCTACCTACCTAATAGCAACAAAATGCCAAGTTGTTATTGTTGCAGTTACATTTATTATATCATTTAGGTATAGTGAATATTACATAAAAAATATTTAGTATTTTTTATAAGATTTCAAAAATATATACAACTGAAAATCTGACAATAAAACTACCATAAATACATAATACCATATGCCAATTTGTCATCATCGGAATCAATGATAATTGTTTAATTTCAATACATTTCTGATAATGAAGCTCATAAAATAAGCATGTTAATTGGCTATTTAGTTTAAATTATCTTAAAAGATAAATGAATTGGAATACTCACTTATCACTATTTACTGCTTCTTGAGCTTCATTTACCCATCTTTTTACTACATCTGGAGCTAATTTGCTCATATGTAATGAACTAATTAGTGCTGCTGAACTGACAGCTGGGTTTCTATCTACAATAGCTTGCTTCATATAACGTTCTATAGCTTGAAGCATAGTAGCATCAGTAATACTGCATAATGCTCTAATAGCAGCTGCTCTGTACATGTCTAAAACACATGGAAATACATAAATATATAGTATACATTTAAAGTTGTGAAAATAATTTTCTAAGCTGAATTTCCTTGATCTGTACCAATTATTACAATAAAGCATATTTTATTTGGACTGTACCTTCTTTACCAGTCATATCTTTTGTAAGACTGGATGTTACAATAATGACATCATCAGCAACAGAACTGAGTTCTTTAATTCCCAAATAAACCATCCTTCTTAATATTACATCTTTTGATTGGAATAGTTTTGTCATGGCGAAGAAAACATCCGTGGCCTCTTTGGCACTCAAAGTTTCACCCTAAAAGGTAGCAGAAGTTAAATACTATTTGCTAAGCAGATATAATGTGAATAAACAAATAATTACATAGATACGATATAAGAGCTTTTACCTGGTTCAATAAATACAACAGTTTTGTTAGTATTGGTGTACATTTTCTTGGATTTACACTAGTTTCATTAAAAACTCTAGCTTCTTGCAAAACAGTGGTTTTTTCCAGGTTTTGAAAAGCACTGGATCCCCCTAGAATAAAATACACTAAAATAAAAGAAAATATATCGTGTTATTAGTTTTACCATCATCATCATGAGTATCCCTTTTAAAAGTACCCATTTTAATTTAAAAACTTTTAAATAATTCGATTTAATTTCTTTACACGTCACATCAGCCGATGATCAAAATAAACGTCAAGTCAAAACTGAAGTGTGGCAAAACAAGACGACAACATTGATACATAAAATAATGATATGGCTTTTTAGAGAATTGGATTTTTTAGCTCTTATTATTATATTCAATTTGTATAATACACACAATACGAAGTAAACTTAGATAAGGTTAATATAGCACAAGCAAATATGTTCAAATTTATTATATGAATTATATTATGTGTAATTATACAATGTGATACAAAGTTGTATTATTCCTAATATGGAAACGTGTAAACTGAGAATAAGCCACAATTAAAGATAAAAATACGTTTATTGATTTATTGATTTCCGAAGTGGAAATTGAAACGTCAATAAACGTATTTTTAACTTTAATTGTGGTTTATTCCGAGTTAAATAGTAATTAATTTAAAATGCCACCAGAAAAGAGCTTCAGAACAATATGTGTAAACTGAGGCTTTAAAATCTTCATTGCATAAATTACATTATAGTTTGTAGGCAATTTTTACATCTACATTTCCTTTTTATTATGATTACACGATTTAATTACAAAAGTGTAATCGATATTGCCTACGTTGAAAAAGTAAAACTGTAAATTATTGCCTAACTAAAAAACCCTTACATTACCAACATAACTCCATCTGCCAAAAATAACTACACAATCAATTACGCACCTGTCACGCACAGGATAAAAGCACAACATTCATTATGTCATTGGAAGAGAAAACAGAAATGTCTCGCTTGTACAAATTAGCTCAAAAATTTAATTGTTTCTATCTGACAGGTATGTGTGACAATATTTCTTTAATTTCTGATAATTTTTGGACAATATTCCATTTAAAATAAGTATGCAAATCTAATTTTAAAGCAGCTATGGCTGGCTATTGATCTTTGCTAGATACACCCATACAAATTTTTATAAAGTTAATTTGTGATTTTGTAGGTTTAAAATCAACTGAATGTAAACCATTTTTCGTAGAAGGTTACCAAGTTGGTCTGGTCAGACCAGATGTGATGAAACAACTTATACGATATCCCGAGGTAGGCAAAAAAACTTTAAAATTTACATGTCACTGTGTATTTATATTTCGAAAATTGTTATTTTAATTACCACTCCCTTAAAAAAACGCAGTCTTAATGATATAAATTTTTCTTTTAGGTGTTTTTAGTTTCTTCGGGGTGTGTGGAGTTGAATCCTGCTTTCAGAGATTATGAGGAGAGAAGTGGTCATGTTGAGAGGGTGTTAAAAGAATTACGAGCAGAAAATGTCTTTATAGCATTGAAAGGCTGGCGAGATGAGGTTAGTTATCAATCACTTCATACTAATTTTACCAGAATAGTTTTACAGCAAGAATTGTACTCTAAATTGTTTCTTACTGAAGAAGGTTATGCATATCACAGAACAGTAATTTATCACTAAAATATACTTAATTTTTTCATTATTCTTAAGAAAACTACAAAGGAACCTGAAAAACAAGTATAAATAGTCATTTTAGATATTAAACTTAATGTGTTGCATTGTTTGAAATGGAAAACAGATCTGGAACAATAATAATAATGTAATTGAGTATATTCTATCTAACATCAAAATAAAAAACAAAACTATAAGTTTATTTACAAGGTATATATAAACAGTATAGACATACATATAACAGTAAATAAAATTGAGAAAAATAGTATAATACCAACATAAGAATATGGGTAACTTAATGTAGTTAATAATAAATCAAATGATATAGTTAACACTGACATAAATATACATCCAAAAAGCACTTAAATGTACTCAATTTTATTCCAGTCAAATGGTAATGACTCCAAGATGAATTAACAAGTTTTTACAATCTTGTTAAAGACAAGTATTTTATCATATGATGATACTGAACTAAAAACAATGGTGTTTCCTGTAAAATTGTGGAAAAGTATGTAAAATTAAGGAGCTGGAGTAAATTAAGTTAAAATAAAGTACAATTTATCATTGTTTATGAGTTAAACAATCACATTTAGTTCTGTAACTATAAAAAGATTTAATTTAATTCTGCTTTATTCAAGAGATGTATCTCTCCAATCAAACCTGCATATGCTTAGGAATTTCTTTTCAACTCTTTCTAAATATTTTATGTGTGCATCATAAAATGGAGTCAAAAATAATGGATCTGTGGGACAAAATATTTCTACAAGAGTAATGTAAAAAACTCTAAAAGCAGTTATTGAGAGGTCACAAGTGTTTTTAGAGATAAATGCCAAAAATCACAATGTACAATTTGTCAGCTTCACAATATTAGAAAGCTTAAGAATTGTCAAAAATCATACCAAAATCTATTATCTCATTTACTTTATAAGGGTATTTGTACTCAAGTCATAGTTAAATGGAATTAAATTTCAAGCAATCAGATGTATGCAATTTCAAGCAATCAGATGTATCACTTATGTTCAAGGAAAGTTTTAAATCATCAGCAAATAAAAGAAATTTGCTGAATGAAAAGTTTTTACCTGTATCATTAGTGAATAAATTGAATAGAAGTAGACTTATATGTGAGCTTTGTAGGACTCCAGAAGTAACATTTATAGATAATAAAATAGCTCCTTTGATATTTACATATTGTACTGTATTGCTTAAAATTACTGTTTATCCAGTTAATTAGATCTGACAGTAAGCCAAAAGAATGTAACTTATGAATTAACATAAAGTAGTTTACACCAGATACCAGTCTGATACCAGTAGTGACACCAGATAAAGATAGTATAAACATTTAAGGAGAGAGAAACAGTATAAAAGGAATCTAAGTGTTTTAGATTCTCAAAAAAACTGTTTATGTAATTTTGATAAAGGATAAGATTAGTTGAAGTTGACTCACTTGATCTATAACCATGCTGTTCTTTAATCAAAATATTTTTACAGTGCCATGGCAAGTCAGGCCGACAGCATGAAAATTGGTCATGAAATAGTAAACAATGTGTTAAATTTTATGAATTTAGAAGCAGAGCATGGGGACCCATTAGTTCCTTTGCCTCAAGTACACAAACGGATTGCATAAGCAGTTTATATTAGTCAGGGTACAGTAAACATATTCAAAAGGGATAGCTTTCGTCATTTGAGACAAAACATAACAAAAATAAAACTTCGAAAAATATTAAGTTACATGATATTGATTCGAGAACATTTCGAAGATAAATTCACAATTGGTATACACATGAAAAACGACACCTACTCTCAGACACTTACACTTAAAATTTAAAGATTTGCCAGTGTTAAAAAGTTTGCATAAAATTATACATGCTTGGGGTTTTTGATGGCACAAAATTCAAAGTAATCGAAAGTTATGTATGGAGCAATATAACAGTCGAGAGCGAAAAACAATTTTCTTAAGACAGAGTAAACATTACCATGAGGAGGGTTGACCAATTATCTATAAATCTAAATGAATGAAACATACATTCATTCTTCCCACAATAATCAAAAAACAACGATAACAGTAATGAAGGATTATGAAAAACAGTGTCGAAAGGGCAACAATTAGTCATAGTTCATGCTGGATGGGAAAATGGTTTCATAACAAATGCTTTGCTTATTTTTAAGTCAAAAACCAAGTCGGGCGATTTTCATGATGACATGAATTTTGCCAGTTATAAGAAATGGCTTGATACCAAACTTAGTCCTAATTTTGATCAAATAAAAGGCAGATATTGAGCACAGTTTTATTAATTTATTCTTGCCCAAGTGCTTTCGCTCCCTAGAGTATCTTCAAGGGCAGTTCGTCAATTGTGGCCTATCCAACGTAACCAAATGATGAATGTGACGAAGATGAATGTGTGAAGAATGTGAAAAGTATTTGGGCGAGATTAAATTAATAAAACTGTGCTCGATATCTGCCTTTTATTTGATCAAAGTTCATTTATTCGAGCATTCAACCTTAAATCAATTTTAGCCCTAATTTACCATCACATAGTGTTGTTCATGACAATACACAGTACCACAATGTACAATCTGAGAAATCTCCTACATCTCAAAAAGACGAAATGAAATGTTGGTTACGAAGCAAAAATATTCTCTATTCGCATGATATGTTAAATGTGAATTTATATCATTTTATAAAAATGTATTTACCGAGGTTTAAAATGTATGAAGTCGACAAAATCCTTGAACAACATGTACACAATACTTTGAGGTTGCCACCTTATCATACGGATCTTAATTCAATTGAACTTGTTTGGGCGTCTCTAAAACAATATGTTGCAATTAAAAACAGCACATTTTTATTGTCAGACGTTGAAACATTGTGTATTGAATTTTTCAACAATTTTTCCTCACAAGATTGGCAAAATCACTGCAAACATGCTCTCAAATTTGAAAAAGAGTTTTATGGCTTGGAACCAGCCATGGATGAAGCAATTGATCAAATAATTATTAAGAAGAACAAAACAAATCCAACGATGATTATGAGAGTGAAAGCGAATCTGAGGATAGTGATAGGGATAGTGGTGATACAGATTGGGTATAAATACATACATTTATATAGCGACTAAACCACCCTTATTTGGATAATACAACCTTAAAAGGATTTCTAAATCTTAATTACTTTACAGTATAAGAAATAACAGTATAACATACTTAACGACACAATTTTGTCGCAATAAGTTTGTCTATAAAGAAATTAGTTGAGGATTATTTATCGCAATGAACAAATACAGATTAAGTTGAATCTTAAATTTTAATTGTGTAAGTAAAAACTTTTTATGTTAATGTTAAAATGTTAAAGTAATATAGTTTACACATAAGATTGTCTTCAACTTAAAAAATGCAACTCTGAGTTTCTCTATATGTATTCTAATTTCTTTGCTCATGTCCTCATTTAGATTACAAACCAAGATAAGTGATACTGTTGAAGTTTTTCGTAACTATTTGCAATTAAAACCGTGTCATCTGCATATCTTAAATTATCAACATTGATGTCGTTAATTGTAATACTCCATTGAATAGTATCCAATGCTTTATTAAAAACGAAATCCGAATAAATGTTAGTGGCGACAAAATGCAGCCCTGTGTTATTCCTCTTCATATTTCAAACTCTTCAGAATTATCCTGTCCAGTCCTGATGTTTGCATGTTGTTGCCAGTAAAGATTTTCAATGATACATAGATCTTTATCACCAATACCTACCTGCTAAAGAAAGTCTATCACTTCAGTATGTTTTACTCAAACAAAGGTCTTCTCAATGTCAATAAAATACATATATTTATTTATTTATTTATTTATTTACGGACTATCCCCATTTTTACAAAATTTAACAAAAAAATATATACTAATCATAATACAAGTACATACTAAAACTAAGTATTAAATAATGATTAAATAATTATTGTTAAACAAATGATTAAATTAAGTAAATTAAATTAAATTTCCTGAAGATCTTAATAAAATGAAATGATCTTAATAAAATAAAATATAATGAAATGATTTTAATAAAATGAAATGAAATGAATACTCCAAGTTCACTTAAATGTCACTCATCTTTGAATCCTAACATACCCATTCAAACAGTGCTTAAATCTTACAGATTTTATATCCACCAGATCATGAGATTGGCTAAAATCATTTTCCAGGATCTCAATCTTGTTAATAGGAGAGAATTTGCCATAGTTAAGGTCGATTCAGACACATCAGTCCCGTCATAGTCTCGGCGCCGAACCGGTTCTGTTTGGTCACAGAACTATCAACTATCTGACAGCTGGGAAACTGTTTGTCAACTGATGAGTGTGAATGCCGGCAACATATTTGTATTAAAGAATATTTTGTATGACGGATTGTTCGGTTCGGCGCAATCACTGTGACGAGACGTTACTGATGTGTCTGAATCGACCTTTAGTGTGATAGTATTTTATAGAAAACAAAGGCATGTCTCTAAGAATTCTAGTGTTACATCTAAAGTTGATAAGACTTAATAAATCAGAACAGTCAGTGGTATGGTCAAGTAGTTTATGGAGAAAAACTAGTTCACATTTAGTTCTGTAGTCTTCTAAGGAACTGATATTTAGCCTTCACCTTAGTTCTACCGAAGACATGTTCCTTAAGTTTAATCTATAAGCACAAATCCGGAGAAACATATTTTGAATTTTTTCAAGGGTGTGAATGTGGTTAAAATAGTATGGTGACCATACTATAGAAGCATAAAACAGAATGCTACGGACGAAAGTAAGATATAAAATTCCATATGTAGGTACTGAAAAATCTCGAGAGTTTCTTGTGATAAAACCTAGATTTCGGTAAGCTTTATTTGACAAATTGTTGATGTGGGGGATAAA